GACATCAAGTGGTGCATCGAATTCACCTCTTCCTTGCCATGTGAGCAATGATCGACAAAGGTCATAGTCGAGGTCAAACACCTGACGATGGTTATCGCGATCACCCCATACACTTGATTGTCATACAGTGTCACTCCACTGGATCATTAACTCTCCTTACTGCCCCTCCGACCAATACATTTGATCAGTTCACAACCGCTGTTAGTGAACTTCTGCAGCTTGTGCTTACTGCTCACTTATATTGTCAGTATCATCAGTTGCTATGCCTGCAGGGTATTCATCTGATCTGGACTGGGTCGCCACGTGTATTCAAATGTTCGGATTCTCTGTCCTCTGATATCAAGATAGACAATCTATGACCCACACTTCACTGACAATCAATCTCTGATGACTGTTGAAGGCAATGCCATATGGACGGTTCAATCCAGTACAGTCCTCACTGTGTGGCTAGTTGTCTGGGGCAGGGTACACGGTCACATGAAGGGCTGCCATTGATTTCTCTGTCGTTGATTTGAACATGGAGTTTGTGTTGGCCTCGACTGACTGGTGTGTACGACACCTCGTATGGGAGGAGACGTCATGGCACAATACCTGTTTTTCTGCTGTTTCTTCGACCAAGGCACTTGATCTAGTGGGTGGGCTTCGGGTGTGTTTTGTGGTGTGGCTTTTGAAATGAGCTCAGTTGTGCGGTGACATTCATGGAGTGAGTGTGGTCTACCACTAGAGTCGTTAGTTGGACTAGGACGTGTGTTGGTTGGTTGACTGTGCTGATGTTAGACCAGGTCCACTGACCTGACATGTGTAAGAGTGCTGGACAGACAGAGAGCGAGAGTGCATAACAGTGAAAACCTGTGTTTGGCAAACTATAAGGCAATGTCTAACATGCTATATCACTAAGTACGTAGTACCGGGTGGTAGCGCAAGATCTCCATCATGCTCGATGTGTGTCCAGACAGGCATGTCAAAGCGGCGGTGATCTCGCACCTAACGACAGGGCTCGCAATCATACTCCCCCAAAGAAGCATGCTGTGGGGGGTGTCCTGCAATAGCTCATATAACCCCGCATTAGCAGTTCGGGCATGTGAGATCACACATGACGATGCACGACCATGACCTAATGCACGACATCAGTGACAGCACGTGCCATGCCAAGGCCCCATGCTGTGTTGGCGAGCGCCCGCCCTCCTCGGGGCACGCATTGATGCTCGTGTGACAATAAGACACACCCCGCAACGTCTGGCTCCTCCAAAGTGTAAATGGGCAGACTAGGGTTTTAAATACAGCTATGCTCAAGGGCTGGATTGTTTGAAGTTGGACCACAAGTTAATATCACCTGTCATTAACTGCAATACCGGCTTGCAAGTAAGACATACAGTAGTCTTGCTGCCACAAATGTATGCTATTTTGGTTGCTTTTGAGTCCAGAAAAACTGTGAGTCAATGACAAAGGAGGGCAATTTGCGACAATGTTTACTCACATTCTTATAGTTACCACAGATACTCTTACACATTCAGGTGTGTGAAATTAGAGCTATACTGATATTCATAGCCAGTGAATTCAGGGTAGACTGACCTTTTCAGTTTGATGCTGAAGAAAGCTATCTCCCTGTCCTTGGCCTGCACTAACTCAGTCTCCTGCAGTCAGGAGACCTCTAGTCACAACACACAACTACAAACACTAGACTAACTCTCTGTCTCATCTCCTGAATCTGCTGCTGCTCTCTCCTGATAGTCTCCTCTGCCCTCGTCACCTCTGCCTCCTTTCTCGTCAGCTCTGTCTCCTGCAGAAACGTGAGAGAGAGGCAGACATGCTTGGAAAAGTTATTTCTGCAATCAACACAACACTTGTGCCATCTTTAAGACTCACATTATGTCTCAATTGCTGCTGTGCTGCAGCTAACTCTGTGTCTTTAGCCTGCACACGGGACTGGAGATGAGCATTCTCTGTCACCAGGTCTCGGAGAACACGCTCCAAATTCTGGTAGAATCACAAGAGTTTTTGTCAACACATCAACTCATACCTAATGAGTGTACAGTCCCTCACCTGGTTCCTGGGCTGGGTCTGAAGAGCTCGTACCAGTTCACGTTTGTTCCTCTCACTCCCTTCATCTCTAACACCAGCTCTGGCCTCCTCCAACAGACGCAGCACCTCACGAATACCTGGCCTCTTGGCTGGGAGATTGTGCAGGCATTGCTGGATCAGCCGAATGAGAGGGTGGTCCCCACGGAGCTGGCCACAGGCACGGAGTTGCTCGTTTACATATCGCATGTACTCAGCGCGTCGCTGTAGTTCAGTTCGACCTAACAGCTCTCCTCTCTTTTCGTCAAAGTAGTTGTGCTCTAGAGGATCACAGGGGAAGACTTCACCGATTGTGAAAATGGCGACAACTCCAAGAGAGAAGACATCGATGCTGGCATCGTATTTCGACTTTTCGGTATTCGATCGAGTTGGTGCAAAAGCCTCTGGAGGCATGTAGACTAAGGCCCCAGGCCCCTTTGTCATGGTGGCTGCAGCTCTCACACGAGGAACGATACGAGCCACGCCCAGGTCCGCTATCTTGGCCACCATCTCCGAGTCCAGGAGAACGTTTCTGGCCGACAAGTCGCGGTGGATGACGGGCGATGATCGCTCGTGGAGGTAGGCCAGGCCACACGCTACGTTGTGCAGTACGGAGCACTTGAGAGCCATGGAGAAGAAAGATAGCGGCGTGACGGCGCCGGACGGAGGGGGCGGGTCCGGAGCCAGCAAGTCGTGAAGACTCGTCAGCAGTCGCTCCATGACGAGGGCTGGCAGTCGCGAGCCGGGAAAGAAAGCGACGCCTAGAAACTGGACGATGTTCGGGTGGCGGAGGGTGCTCATAAGTTGACATTCCCTCACGAACTCGGTCGAGGCTTTGGCTTCTCGCAAGAAGGCGTAGATTGTTTTGGCGGCGGCCCCTACAGAAACGACCACCTCCTCCACTTCGCCGTAGGCTCCGCTGCCGATTTTGTGACCAGTGAGCTGGACGTCGGAGAGAACGAAGGGCCTCAGCCCTGGATGATCGCGAAGAAACTCTTCCGCCATTTTTGTGACCTAAATATACGAGCCCCACCCTAACATTGTGCGCATGCACCAGTAAAAATAATACTAGTAGGTGAATGAATGGCATTTTTGGCGAGCGGGAGCGAGCACACAATGACTGTATCTGCATTAGCCATCCTAGCCTATTTACAACTTGAACCTTAAAGAGGTATATACAGCCTCGGAAGAGCGCAGCGAATGCCAGCGAATAGACGAGAGTTCTTTCGCTGAGATTTCGCATCGATATGACAGCTAGGCAGCGTGTAAAGAATATGCGCGTTCCCTGCTCAGGAGTCTCACTGACACGATGTTCTCTTTCCCTCTCTCTTCGACGACGAATGGCTTCCTCTCAGACTGATGCGAGAGTATATTATACGGACGCACGGCAGCATGTGAAAGTTTGAAATCATTTCGGATAAAAAGAAGCGCGTAATCCTGGAGCATGCGCACTTACACGACGTACGCGGGTCGTAAATAAATAGAAAAATCGCGCCGTTTGGACCACTAGGTTAGCTCGCTCCCGCTCGCCAATTAGCGTTCCTTGGACGCCATGGGGATCTGCTTACATAAGCAGAAATTGATGTATAAAGTATTAGTGCCTAGTATTTCAACCCCCATATAAATTCTTATGGACTTATGGAGGCTCTGGACACATTTGTGTCCGTGGTGGCAGGTTAAGCTTTACTCACACATTACACTACAATTTTACAGCATGGATTTTGGTTGGCTGCTGACATGTAGGTACACACAAAATTGGTTGTGTTGTGTGTTTGACTAGCACGACTAACTTCTGCAAGTGCTTTAACGTGTTTTCCTGGTTCATGTACACTAGATGTATGTTTATTTCCACATCTGACTAGTAATGGAACCGTAAGGTTTGGAGGTGCGATAGACTTCCTGGGGGGTCAGTGGGCGGGGATTGAACTTGACGAGGCTGTCGGGAAGAACGACGGCTCTCTCAAGGGAATCAGGTTCTTCACCTGCAAACCCAAGTTTGGTGAGTTTGTGATGGAGTGGGCAAGCATGGGGGACCAAATTTACAACTTTGATCAGTTGTACATGTACATATATACTGCTGCCTCATTTTACTAGGCATACACCCCATCTTTACCTTCTCTGTGATTTCACACCCTCCCCTCTCCCTCTTTCTCTGCCATCTTATTTACCTTTCCCCCCTTTTTACTTGCTCCTTCTCCCTCCCTCCCTCCCCTCTCTCCCAGGTCTCTTTGTTCCGATGCAGAGAATCTCCAAGGCTCCAATGAGGCAGTTGTCCACAGAGAGAAGGAAAAAGATGGCCGCCAATGGAGGGAGGAAGAGGGAGTCTGTTGCTCTCTCTCCTCGCACCTTTGAGGCTCAGGGAACCATGGCCGTCACAACTGACCTACAGGTCCCTTTCTCTCTCTTCTTCCTTCTCCTACTTCCTGATATTTGGACCTCCGTTTCTGCAGAAGCATTGCAGAAGCACCACAATTTTGGCAGAAGCGCCACAATTATTTTCATTTCTGAGCCGTGAATACTTAATGCTTGCATGTGATTTTTGCCAGTAAAATGGCTCACGCACGGCTAATGGTTGAGCGTGACTATGAAATAGCTTGCGGGGCGACTTGCTCTAGCTATAAGCTGAATAGCTCGCGGGCTACTTGCTATAGCTATAAGCTGAAATAGCTTGCTGCTACTTGCTCTAGCTATAAGCTGAATAGCTTGGGCTACTTGCTCTAGCTATAAGCTGAAAAGTTGCGGGCTACTTGCTCTAGCTATAGTGAAATAGCTTGCGGGCTACTTGCTCAGCTATAAGCTGAAATAGCTTTGCGGGCTCTTTGAAATGAGCGTGACTATGAAACTCCGGCCCACCTAGTTCTGAAAAATGTTTCATTAATACTATATAATGTCCTTCCAATTTCCAACTGAACTCACACCACGATACAATGCCCCACAGGTAGGAGAGAGAGTCAGTATTGAAGGCAACGGGACCGGAACTCTGAGATACGTCGGCAGTGTCAAGTTTGCACCCGGGTAAGCAGGTACAGTACCGCTCAAAAAAATAGTACCTACGCTCTTGGTTCGCTCAAGGTACGGTACCGGTACGGTACCTTTACGGTCCGGAACTTTAACTTTTTTTAGAGCGGTACTGTTGTACTTCAACATACATTTCACAAGTTGCAGAATTAGACTAACTGAAGCTACGTGGGTTTTGTGCCCCGTCGCCTTACTGTTACTACTCCAACTAATAAAACTGCACAATTTAAAGCATGGATTATACGTACTTTGGCGGTTAGATACACACTGATTTGGTGTTGTGATTGACTAAAAAGGCTAGCTTCTTTTTTATATTCGTGGTTATAATTCCACATCTGCAACATCCCTATTTGGTAAGTTACGAAACTGAAGGTTAGTGTTGTTTGTGTGTCAGGATATGGATGGGAGTGGAGTTGGACAGTGGGGGAGGTGACAACTCGGGGTCTCACACCGGAGTAAGATACTTCAACTGTAGACCCGCCCACGGGGTATTCCTACCACCATCCAAAGTCAAAAGGTCAGCTGAGAAGATAGAGTAAAAAAAAAGTGCAGCAACTCTGTCGTACGTGTGCTTTAACGTGTTTGTCCTTCCAATTTCCAACTGAACTCACACCACGATACAATGCCCCACAGGTAGGAGAGAGAGTCAGTATTGAAGGCAACGGGACCGGGACTCTGAGATACGTCGGCAGTGTCAGTTTGCAACCCGGGTAAGCAGGTACAGTACCGCTCAAAAAATAGTACCTACGCTCTTGGTTCGCTCAAGGTACGGTACCGGAACTTTAACTTTTTTTAGAGTGTATATACTTCAGCATACTGGACCTGTCGGCACCCCGCAGGGGCCGCGGGGATTAGATAGCTAGTCCGGTTCTCCCTCTCTTCTCCAAATTGTACGCCCCGCTCAAGGTACGGTACCTTTAACTTTTTCACAAGTTGCAGAATTAGACTAACTGAAGCTACGTGGGTTTTGTGCCCGTCGCCTTATGGTTACTACTCCCACTTCACTGCACAATTTAAAGCATGGATTATACGTACTTTGGCGGTTAGATACACACTGATTTGGTGTTGTGCTTGACTAAAAAGGCCTAGCTTCTTTTTTATATTCGTGGTTATAATTCCACATCTGCAACATCCCTATTTGGTAAGTTACGAAACTGAAGGTTAGTGTTGTTTGTGTGTCAGGATATGGATGGGAGTGGAGTTGGACAGTGGGGGAGGAGACAACTCGGGGTCTCACTCCGGAGTAAGATACTTCAACTGTAGACCCGCCCACGGGGTATTCCTACCACCATCCAAGGTCAAAAGGTCAGCTGAGAAGATACGTGCATTCAGTAAAAAAAAGTGCAGCAACTCTGTCGTAGCACGTTTAACCCACACACCTCTCTCTCTCTCTCTCTCTCTCTCCAGACTCTCTCCTCCAGCAGTAGCAGCAACCTCCAGTGGCTCCTCTACCAACAGTGGCCCAACTACTGATTCCACTGACTTCCCAGCCCACTCCTCCTCCTCCTCCCCCTCCCCTCGTCCCTCTCCTCCCGTCAACAAACGAAGACTCAACACCTCCAACACCACAAAGTCAGTATATATACTCACCTGCTTTCATGGTCAAAACTGGAAGTTGATATCAACTGAAGCTCACACACCTACTTTATAACAAGCACATAAAACACAATTTGCTGTTGAACTTATGAAGAAAGGCCACCAGTAAAAACCATTCTACCAACCCCTTGTTCTGGAGTATGCTGAAACTATAAATCTTTTCTCTTTCTTCCCTTGCATACATTTTTCATTTGCATGCATTCAGAACTGGACCTCGAGCCAAGCAGCCTCGCACAGTCTCCCTCACCAACCCTCCCTCTTCTTCCTCACTCCCCCACCATCCTCCCTCCCTCTCCTCCTCCACCCTCTCCCTCTCCTCCCTCCCCAACGTCACTCTGGAGACCGGGATGAGTGTCTTTGTGACTGGAGCTGATTTTGGGGTCGTGCGGTTCATCGGAGCCACCCAGTTTGCTAAGGGGGTGTGGCTTGGGATTGAACTACGGAAACCTAGTAAGTACATATTATTGACACACGAAGCAAGCCTATCTAGTCGTCTCAATGCAAGGATTTTTCTACATATTATGTGACGGGCAATACACGTACCGTAATGTTCTACGTGATTCTAAATACGTGCGAAAAACTGAAAGCCATGTGTCCAGAGCCTCCATAAGTCCATAAGAATTTATATGGGGTTATAATACTAGGCGCTAATACTTTATACATGAAATTCTGCTTATTTAAGGAGATAGCTACCCATGGCATCCAAACCAAAACACTGCAGTGCAAAACTTTTTAACCCCTGGCTCATTAACTTTAACCCTGCCCATTAACCCCTTCAACTCTTTCACTCTCTCTCCTCTGCAGATGGAAAGAACGATGGGTCGGTGAAGGGACATCGCTACTTTCGCTGCAAGCCTTCTCACGGACTGTTTGTCAAACCAGAGAAAGCCACTCATCGAGGAATCAACTGCTCCAAGATCCTCCCTAGCTCCTGCCTTGAGAACAACTCTTAACATTGTGTTTATGATGTCATCATTATGTAATGTATGTTGTCAACTATAGTCCAATGAATATAGTGCAGGTGTATTATGTGGTGCATGGTGGCCCACTTGGTACATGTTACCCTGGCAACGATGTATTATGATAATATTGGTTTGTAGTAACACCCACTCAGCACTATTAGCAATACTGCCGCTATACAAACTTGCTGGTGCTGTATATACAAATTTGCTGTGCTGTATATACTGTCAAGTGAAGGCTTTCCTAAAAAGGGTGGCATAATTATCCATTGTGCTGTAGTTACTACGGAGACATGTACCAAGTAGGTTTGATGATGGCTCTATTCGGGCTGCCCGCTCATAGAGCATACTTGCCATCATCAAACCTATACATAAATAATACCATTTGCATATCAACCGCACATAATGAATAAAACTACGTGTGAATTCTAAAAACTGTCAGATTACTGTAATATTTCAAGATCGTTGCATAAGAGAGAAATATTTTAATGAAAGACACAGTATTACATGAGTGCTGACTACAAGACTAATTAACACGAATAGTATAATACATGAGTTATTACAAATGAGAACAAGAGACGGACTACAAAACATGCTAATTAACGAAATGATGAATATTATTATGTGATTCAACTGTCACATCATCACAATAGTTTACAGAGAACTGCACCATTAACACATTGTTACAAACATGAAGTACAATATTAAACACTGAAGCACACAATTTTTAGACGCCTTATTATGCTACAATAGACGATAGTGGATACAATTACATGAAACATGGGATAATAAGGCATTGTGGTTATATAATGTGTCTGAAGACGTGTTAAGGAGAGCAACAAGTGGTAGGAAAAGGGGGTGTGGTCTAGAGATTGACTGTTATGATAAATGTATGGATGGCAGTAGCATTGGGTGTTCTAGAATATCTGAACTCTGTTGTTACCAATAGTCACATACATGTATAAAACCATCAACACAAGAGGTGATACAGTATGGATCATGAAACTCTCCCTCTTTCTGACCACGCCTTCCAAATGAGGTGACAAACTGACCTGAGGTCTCATACACTACAATACAATCACCACTCAAATCAGACACATACACATACTTGTCAACAATATGAAGACCTGATGGCCGACGCAGTTTTCCCTCTCCTTCCTGACCAAATACTCGTATGAATTGGCCACTGGTGTCCATTACTTGCACTCTCCCATTACCACACTCAGCTACATACATGTTCCCGGCAGTGTCAAATTTGACATCAAATGGTGCATTGAATTCACCTCTTCCTTTGCCACGTGAGCCAATGGATCGGACAAAGTTCAAGTCGAGGTCAAACACCTGAATGCGATGGTTATCACGATCACACACATACACTTGATTGTCATACAGTGTCACTCCACGTGGATCATCAAACTCCCCCTCCTTACTGCCCCTCCGACCAATACATTTGATCAGTTCACCACTGCTAGTGAACTTCTGCAGCTTGTGCTCACTGCTCACATAAATATTGTCAGTATCATCAGTTGCTATGCCTGCAGGGTATTCCATCTGATCTGGACTGTCACCACGTGATCCAAATGTTCGGATTTTCTGTCCTCTGATGTCAAAGATAGACACTCTATGACCCCAACATTCACTGACAATCATCTCCTGATGACTGTTGAAGGCAATGCCATATGGACGGTTCAATCCAGTCACAGTCCTCACTGGGTGGCCTAGTTGTCTGGGGTCAGGGTACACGGTCACAGTGAAGGGGCTGCCATTGATTTCTCTGTCGTTGACTTGAACATGGAGTTTGTGTTGGCCTCGACTGACTGGTGTGTACGACACCTCGTATTGGGAGGGAGACGTCATGGCAACCGATACACGCGATTCATGGCTGTTTCTTGACCAGGCCACCTTGTTAGTGTTCTGTGTGTGGCTTTTGAAACGAGCTCAAGTTGTGCGGTGACATTCAGTGGAAGTGAGTATGGTCTACCACTAGAGTCAGTTAGTTGGACTAGGACGTGTGTTGGTTGGTTGACTGTGGCTGATGTTAGACCAGGTCCACTGACCTGACATGTGTAAGAGTGCTGGGACAGACAGAGAGCGAAGAGTGAATAACAAGTGAAAACCTTGTGTTTGGCAAACTATAAGGCAATGTCTAACATGGCTATATATAGTTATAGCAATAGAGCTGCGAAAAGAAAACGCTACCTTATACTCAGACTTGAAGGAAAAAATCGAGTCCAGCATTGCCTAACACACACTATCTTTGAAGAATCTCCAATCGTTGTCACGTGTCCCAATCCCCCGATCGACCAACGTACAAGACTGCAAGTCAAAATGAATTCAGTGAGTTCAAACCAAACTGGGTTGGATCCAAAGAGTTCGTACCAGTTCAGGTGCAGAGCAATAGTGTTTTAAAACAAGGATTACCCCCAAGGCTCTTCCTTGTCTATACGACTTGGTAACGAGGTAGAAAGGCAAGACAAACAAGTCAACTACACCCAGGACAGCTCTTTCTTCAAAGAAAAGAAGAGCTGCCCTGGGTGGGATTCGAACCTACGACACACTGCAGTCTAGGCGAGCGCTCTACCAACTGAGCTACCAGGGCAACTCAGCTGGTAGGGGTTCGAACTTACAACACAACACAAGGCAAATCTCAAACCACTGTGCTATGGCACAGTAAACTCTCACTCAGTAGCTATAGTGCAACAATGCATGTATAATACTTCCAATAATTGGGAAATCTTATTTTTGCATATAACTTCTCTTCTGTTTGCTCTACTAATAACAAACCTTAACACAATGGTCAAGACATCAAGAAGTAATGAAAATGAAATGGTTGCCATGGTTACCATGGTTACCATTACATAATCATAAACAAATATAGGTTATACTGCGCGTCAATGGAAATACGCGATTTAGACGGCACGAGGGGCCCTGAGCTGTAGCTGTCTGAGCGCAGCGAAGACGCTACTAAGGGCTCCGAGGCCGTCTAAATCGTGTATTTCCATTGACAAGCAGTATAACCTGTTTAGACGTCCAGGTCCGCCGTCTTCCGAAAGACTCGCTCTTGCCGGGGGAAGCTAAAAAGGTCTTCAGTTTAGTTTCTTTTTGCATCGTAGAGAGGCCTTTCGTCGAAGAAGCATCGGATATAGCCAGTTTGAAGTCGTCGCGGCGAGCTCTCAGCGACAGAGCGAGTTTCTTTGCGCGGAAGCTTGCCACACCCCCATCGAAGACGCCATTTTTTTGCGGGCGTCTCCATGGAAACACGCACTTGGAAAATACGGGATTTAGAATCCACGTTTTACGCAATCTGATTGGTCAATTTGAATCTGCCGACGTCTAAATATGAATATGTAATTTTCCTGTTAGTATAATTATACTATGTAGATTTACATAATGCACCCTACATGGACAAAATGGGTATCATTCTAAAGCTCTCAATGTGCTCTACTAATCTATCAGACAACTTTTGTTTTATTTCTTCCGTAGAATATTTCATGAATTATTTTCGATTTATGACATGATTATCTGGATAACTATGTACTTTCACAGGGTATTACAAAAATTCATAGAAATTTTCCTAGAGAGAGGTAATACATAAGGCTACATTTGCTACAGAAAAAAATATGGAAAAATTACAATAGCATAGAGAAATAAAAAAGAAAAATTCCCACAGACACTAAATCATCTCGGTCGAGGTGTGATATCCAAAGCGCTCGGCCATATGATCACTGTCCGACTTCATGCTTATATCTAGGTCAAAGGAGGGGTCTATATCTTTATTATCCGTCTCCAATTCATGAATACTGACGTCTAGGAGATCTGCCATACCGTTAACATCGTCTTCATGCGAGGCCGCGCCCGACTCAGCGACCTCCGTCGAACTCTCGCCCGCGGAACGCCTTCTTTTCTCTTCCCTTACCTTCTCAAGGCTCAACTCTCGCTCTCTCTTCTTAGCAGATCTCGGTGGTATCTTAAAAGACTCGAAAACAACCGAAGACGCCTTCTCTCCCACTTTCGCGGCAAACACGCGACAATACGTTGGTGACGTCACGTAACGGTAAATATTTTACATTACAGCCTTGGAAGCGCTACAAATCGGCGGGTACAAGAATACCCATAGGTGTCCCATGGACATAAAAAATGTACCATTGCAAACATCATGGAAAGCGTCGTTCAATGCAAAAAACAGCATAAAAATATCTCCTTCCAAAAAATTGTTTTGATAGAAACAAAATTTTGGAAGTTTATGCATTGTTGCACTATAATTATGTAGGAGCAGACTGGGGTAATTAAACCACCAATGACGCCCAACTCCTAACCGAGCATATGCATGTCTCAACAACTTGGTAAAAGGCAAGGCAAGGCAAACAAGTCAACTACACCCAGGACAGCTCTTTCTTTTCAAAGAAAGAGCTGTAGAACACAAGGATTACCCCCAAGGCTCTTCCATGGATGAGGCCCACCTGTTTAGACATATGCAATGTGTACACCGTTCAAACTCGGTGCAGCTTTAATAGCAAACGAGCATTACTCTCTCGCTGGTAGGCCAAGTGAGAGTCCCAGGGAAGACGTTGACAGGGACAGTGGTAAAGGGACGGGAGGTGGTAAAGGGAGGAGGGAAGGGGCTGGAGGAGTGTGACAATGGGACTTACCTTGACCGGCACCTTCCCAAACCCCAGGGGAGTCTGTGCAACATACGTATGTCATTACATGCAATTTAGAGACCAGAAACTTCAGACGATTTAGAAGTCCACGCATCGACAAAAATAATATTATTGCTGCAAATTACCTAGCTCGCTAAGTAAGAAACACAGTAGTCTTGCTGCCACAAATGTATGCTATTTTGGTTGCTTTTGAGTCCAGAAAGACTGTGAGTCGATGACAAAGGAAGGCAATTTGCGACAATTTTTACTCACATTCTTTACCACACACATGCCTATATACACATTCAGGTGTGTGAAATTAGAGCTATACTGATATTCATAGCCAGTGAATTGACCATTCATCACTGACCTTTTCCCCAAGTTGCTGCTGAAGCAGAGCCATCTCCCTGTCTGTGGCCTGCACTAACTCAGTCTCCTGCAGTCAGGAGGACCTCTAGTCACAACACACAACTCCACACACTAGACTAACTCTCTGTCCCATCTCCTGATTCTGCTGCTCCTTTTCCCCCAGTTGCTGCTGAAGCAGAGCTATCTCCCTGTCCTTGGCCTGCACTAACTCAGTCTCCTGCAGTCAGGAGGACCTCTAGTCACAACACACAACTCCACACACTAGACTAACTCTCTGTCTCATCTCCTGAATCTGCTGCTGCTCTCTCCTGATAGTCTCCTCTGCCCTCGTCACCTCTGCCTCCTTTCTCGTCAGCTCTGCTTTATTTCTCGTCAGCTCTGTCTCCTGCAGAAACGTGAGAGAGTGGCAGACATGCCTAAAAAAAGGCTGAATACTCACTTTTCTTGTCAGCTCTTGTCTGAGTGTCTGATTCTCCCTCTCAGTTGCTTGCAAATGTTCTTCCTGCGATCACAAAACACACAACACTTGACTGTGCCACTATATCATCTTTAAGACTCACATTACGTCTCAATCGCTGCTGTGCTGCAGCTAACTCCGTGTCTTTAGCCTGCACACGGGACTGGAGATGAGCATTCTCTGTCACCAGGTCTCGGAGAACACGCTCCAAATTCTGGTAGAATCACAAGAGTTTTTGTCAACACATCAACTCATACCTAATGAGTGTACAGTCCCTCACCTGGTTCCTGGGCTGGGTCTGAAGAGCTCGTACCAGTTCACGTTTGTTCCTCTCACTCCCTTCATCTCTAACACCAGCTCTGGCCTCCTCCAACAGACGCAGCACCTCACGAATACCTGGCCTCTTGGCTGGGAGATTGTGCAGGCATTGCTGGATCAGCCGAATGAGAGGGTGGTCCCCACGGAGCTGGCCACAGGCACGGAGTTGCTCGTTTACATATCGCATGTACTCAGCGCGTCGCTGTAGTTCAGTTCGACCTAACAGCACTCCACTCTTTTCGTCAAAGTAGTTGTGCTCTAGAGGATCACAGGGGAAGACTTCACCGATTGTGAAAATGGCGACAACTCCAAGAGAGAAGACATCGATGCTGGCATCGTATTTCGACTTTTCGGTATTCGATCGAGTTGGTGCAAAAGCCTCTGGAGGCATGTAGACTAAGGCCCCAGGCCCCTTTGTCATGGTGGCTGCAGCTCTCACACGAGGAACGATACGAGCCACGCCCAGGTCCGCTATCTTGGCCACCATCTCCGAGTCCAGGAGAACGTTTCTGGCCGACAAGTCGCGGTGGATGACGGGCGATGATCGCTCGTGGAGGTATGCCAGGCCACACGCTACGTTGTGCAGTACGGAGCACTTGAGAGCCATGGAGAAGAAAGATAGCGGTGTGACGGCGCCGGACGGAGGGGGCGTGTCCGGAGCCAGCAAGTCGTGAAGACTCGTCAGCAGTCGCTCCATGACGAGGGCTGGCAGTCGCGAGCCGGGAAAGAAAGCGACGCCTAGAAACTGGACGATGTTCGGGTGGCGGAGGGTGCTCATAAGCTGACATTCCCTCACGAACTCGGTCGAGGCTTTGGCTTCTCGCAAGAAGGCGTAGATTGTTTTGGCGGCGGCGCCTACAGAAACGACCACCTCCTCCACTTCGCCGTAGGCTCCGCTGCCGATTTTGTGACCAGTGAGCTGGACGTCGGAGAGAACGAAGGGCCTCAGCCCTGGATGATCGCGAAGAAACTCTTCCGCCATTTTTGTGACCTAAATATACGAGCCCCACCCTAACATTGTGCGCATGCACCAGTAAAAATAATACTAGTAGGTGAATGAATGGCATTTTTGGCGAGCGGGAGCGAGCACACAATGACTGTATCTGCATTAGCCATCCTAGCCTATTTACAACTTGAACCTTAAAGAGGTATATACAGCCTCGGAAGAGCGCAGCGAATGCCAGCGAATAGACGAGAGTTCTTTCGCTGAGATTTCGCATCGATATGACAGCTAGGCAGCGTGTAAAGAATATGCGCGTTCCCTGCTCAGGAGTCTCACTGACACGATGTTCTCTTTCCCTCTCTCTTCGACGACGAATGGCTTCCTCTCAGACTGATGCGAGAGTATAATTATACGGACGCACGGCAGCATGTGAAATTTTGAAATCATTTCGGATAAAAAGAAGCGCGTAATCCTGGAGCATGCGCACTTACACGACGTACGCGGGTCGTAAATAATATCGAAAAATCGCGCCGTGAGTTGCTCGTTTACGTTTCGCATGTAATGGCTGCGTCGCTGTAGTTCAGTTCGACCTAACAGCTCTCCTCTCTTTTCGTCAAAGTAGTTGTGCTCTAGAGGATCACAGGGGAAGACTTCACCGATTGTGAAAATGGCGACAACTCCAAGAGAGAATACATCGATACTGGCATCGTATTTCGACTTTTCGGTATTCGATCGAGTTGGTGCAAAAGCCTCTGGAGGCATGTAGACTAAGGCCCCAGGCCCCTTTGTCATGGTGGCTGCAGCTCTCACACGAGGAACGATACGAGCCACGCCCAGGTCCGCTATCTTGGCCACCATCTCCGAGTCCAGGAGAACGTTTCTGGCCGACAAGTCGCGATGGATGACGGGCGATGATCGCTCGTGGAGGTATGCCAGGCCACACGCTACGTTGTGCAGTACGGAGCACTTGAGAGCCATGGAGAAGAAAGATAGCGGCGTGACGGCGCCGGACGGAGGGGGCGGGTCCGGAGCCAGCAAGTCGTGAAGACTCGTCAGCAGTCGCTCCATGACGAGGGCCGGCAGTCGCGAGCCGGGAAAGAAAGCGACGCCTAGAAACTGGACGATGTTCGGGTGGCGGAGGGTGCTCATAAGCTGACATTCCCTCACGAACTCGGTCGAGGCTTTGCCGTAAGCCCCACCGCCGATTTCGGTGCCAGTGCGGTGGACGTCGGAGAGAACGAAGGGCCTCAGCCCCGGATGATCACGGAGACTCTTCAGCCATTATTACCGTTCTTTAGTGCGCATGCGTGTAAGCCCTCGAACCCCCGCGCGCCGCATGATGGGGTGACGCTGTAGGGTTGCCAGCGCGCCTCTGCCATTAGTAATAGATTGATCGTTGAGTCGTTGAGTGTCAAAAACATGTTTGTGCATCGTGTCCAGTCCCGACTACTGATTCCAGACAAGCTGATGTGCAGAAAGGTGAGTGGGTGATGCTTGGTAACAAAAATCAAGTATAATATAAAAAATCAAAATGACTATTTTCTGTACATAATTCTGTCAACTGAGAAGTGCATTCAGTAAAAATTCGTGTCGTAGCACGCGCTTAACTCACACAATACGTGCGAAAAACTGAAAGCCATGTGTCCAGAGCTTCCATAAGTCCATAAGAATTATAGGGCTTTAATACTAGGCGCTAATACTTTATACATGAAATTCGCTTATTTAGGAGACCCGTGGCATCCAACACTGCAGTGCAACATTTTAACCCCTGGCTCATTAACTTTAACCCCTGTCCCTTTAACCCCTTTCAACTCTAACACTCTCTTCTCCTCTGCAGATGGAAGAATGATGGGT